AAACTGCATATTCTATGCAATGTTTTCAAAAACACAATAGTAAATATGAAATATGTGATTTCATATTATAAACATTGAAACCCAAAACCATGCATGTATATAAATATATATAACTATATATATGCATAGAAACCAAAACTTATGTATATATATATAACTATATATATATACAAAGAAACCAATAAATGTGTGTGTATAGATATTGAGCTTAACGTACTTAACACACATAATATAAAACCTATATTAAATTACCCAAGCTAGATCTTGATCTTCAATAAGCTCGACTTGGTACATTTGCGGATGAAGCTTGAATTTGATCTTTAACTTTGAATTGTATAAGCTTCACCGACATTCCGCCAACCTCCTTTGGATATGATCGTTGAATGCTCGATTCCATCCATCCTCCAACTCATTGTTTGTCTACAACAAAATACAAACACTAGACAAACAATATTAGATGTAAATTGTTTGTTAAATCATCATCAAAACAAGAAGGCCAACAGCTATGTCCAACAGTACACCTCTGGCTACTACCTAAAGTATTTCGATCCTTGTTACAAGCTAAAAGCAAGATCTTGAAAACTTTGAGGGGGCCTTGTACACAATTAAAATACACTCTCTTGCACCAATGCTCAATCTGAGTCCAAAAAGTAAACACCTATAGGCCAAACACTTCAGATGGGCTTAAGCAACAGAATATGGTAGGATGCAACAAAGTTCATTGTATCCGAGACACAGGGGACCTGAGTCCGAGTCAATCCTTAAGTCAGACTCAGGGCCGAGTCCAAAGGCGTCCTCAAGTCAATCGAGTCAATAAACAAGCTCAAGTCAGATTTTGAGTCAAATATGAACTTATCAACAAAGTTCACCAACCAAAACATGTGAACTCCGCCACACAGCTCACATCGACCCAACTTGGAGTCAAGAGTGGGTCGACTCCCACTTTAGGCTAAATCAAAAAGCATCATTAAGTTAGCCAAGTTGCGAATCGAATTATACGCTAAATTCGAACTAGCCAGCGAAGTTCGCCAATCAATTAATCAGCGAACTTTGCCCATATCTACTCACGTGGGCCACATCGTCCACGATTAAGAAGAGATGGCCCACCTACATTCAAAATGTGCTTCACTTAAATAGTACATGTGGGATTCATAATTAAGTTCGCTCAAGCTGAAGGTAAGCTTGCCAAAGTTGTAGTGAAGCGCACCCAAGCATTAGCAAGCTTTGCCCAATAGCCTACGTGGGCTATGTCACCCATTCTGGTGAAGTTCACTCATGTTCATTATTGATGAACTTCGGCCGTGGTCATTAGTGGCGAACTTCTCTTATGGCTATTATTGTTGAACCTTGTCCATGACGGTTTTCAGAAGCTACTTTTAAGGAAATAGTTCACCCACCAAGTCACCCATTTTAGAGGAGTTAAGAGGAGTTGATGATCACTAACTTACCCATTTAAGGGGAGTTAAGGGCCACTAATTCATCCACTTAAATGTTCCAAAGCCTATATAATCATCATGAAGTAAGGGCACATATGGGCAGAGAAAAAGGACTTAGGTTTAATATTATCTTAGTTAGACTCTTTACTGTTGAAGGGGGAGTTGGGGGGGAGAGAGAGAGAGAGAGAGAGAGAGAGAGAGAGAGAGAGAGAGAGAGAGAGAGAGATTCAGAGGCTATATTGTCAAAAGCCCATATTTACTCCATTCTCATTGATCTTAATAGATCATTATCATCGGCTAATCATTTGGCCCAATCAACGATCCTTGTGAGAAAGGATTCGTTCTCTTCAGCTAGTCATCTAGCTTAATTAATAGTTCCTATGGGAAAGGGTCTTCATCCAAAAAAGACCGTGCTACCTTCCAAGAGATTAGAGATCATCAATCAGCGCAAGACTTATCATCTTAGCCAAACCGTTAATGAAGTACAAGATCGATGATCCATCGACACACAGAGAATAACCCCAGAAAATATAAAATTTTTATTTGTTCATTGTAATCTTTTTATCGTAATCTATGTTAATTGCAATACAAAAGACCCGAAACATCAGGAGTATGCATTTGTTTTGGCATTTGGGTAGGTTATTAGTTGGTGAACAATGAAGTGGGTTTTCATTTGGTAACATAAGATTTGAGTGGTCATTTGGTGGAATAGGATCTCGATTTTCATGTGGTGAACTAGGAGATTGCATTTCTTTTTGGCATTTGGATGTGCTAGTTTTTTTTCTTCTGGGTATTAACTTTTTTCTTGGCACAACTTTCTTAGTCTTTTAGAGAGTGGTTTGATTTAATTTGGGATTTTAGCAGTTTCTGATTGACTAGGGATAGTTTATGATGGTTTACCAACACTTTCCAATGGTATGTCCACCTCAACAGGTATATCAACATAGTGCTCAGCAAATATCTCTACCACTCTTATCTTTATTGGCTTGCTCAAGCATTTCAACTAGTTTAGCATGTGAGTTTAATTTTCTCAAACCCCTTAGACCTGATAAGGAATAATACATGAAGAACGCATTGATAGACCTATAGTTTTCTAGACAATAACTGAATGACTGAGAGAGGTAATGAAAATGCATCTTTTTAATGAATTCAACATGAAAATCTCCTCCAATATATTCGACAATATCTCCCTCACCAAACACTATTTGACCCTCATGTCTAAATTTCACCATGAAAGTCTCACTCATTTGTTGAAAACTAAAAAAAGAAATTATGAAAATTTACCACAAAAATCAAAAATTAAATAAACATTCTCCCAAATTTTAGCAAACAAACCCTAACTTCTAAACACTACATATAACCAAATGATATGAAATTAAACCCTAATATCCAACCTTGGGTCTTCATTACACATAAAATTCCTTTATTACACATAAATCCCTAACCAATCTGTAAAAAACCTTAATTTTCATAATTTAAGCTCACCTTTGAGGACCATGAGAATGACCCCGTCTTCAATTTCTACTTCTCTTCGACATAATGCTCCGAGCCAACTTCGAATCTCTTCCAACTTATTCCTTTCTATTTTTGCTTTTTTTTCTTGATCTCAATTTGGCCTTGAGATTTGGAATTGGTTCCTCTCTCTCCCCCCTGCAGTTTTCCCTTCTCTCAATTAGGTTAGTTATTGTCCCGCTCAACACTCATTAATATTAGCGGCATCAGATTACCATTTAATTTTTGACGATCATGTACAATCACATGAGTTTTTTAACCGTTACATGAATTTCCGGCACTGGATAGACCTTTTAGTCGCCAAAGTTTAACTTTTTAAGGTAAATTGAGACACTTTTTAGGCCAAACTGGTTAAATGGTAACAATTTTTAGGCCAATTTGTTATTTTAGTCGTCTAAAAATCTTAACAATTAGTTGCGACCTAAATGCGTTAAAGCTCAGAGCCCAAATTTCAAATTTCACCAATCGCCTGACTTTACACTAGCCTGCTCGCTTAGGGGTGGGGGGGGAGTGTTATTCATTGGTGTAATTTGGGGGATAATGGGATAATTTTTGGAACATCACTTTTTAGTGTTAATCATTGGGGTAATTGGAATTGGAGTCAACTTTGTGGTGTTATTGATTTGTTGGGGAAATTGGGGGATAAATACTTCACTTTCTCCTAAATTACACCAACTATATAAAGATCCCCTCCACCCCTTCCTCATAATTATCCCAAATTTACCCCCTCCTCCATATTGGAACAATGTTGTTCCACTTTGAAGGTAATTGGGATAATTTTAAAATATTTTTGTATTACTTAACTAATACATGCTAATTATATTATAAATATATGATATGATATATAAAATATAACATATATTAATATTTTAATAACATAATTTAATAACATATATTAATAATATTATATAATAGTAATTATAGTATAGCGTATTTATTATAATATTATATAATATTTTAATAACATAATATATTAATAATATTATGTAATATATTATTATATAATATTAATTAGTAATTATAGTATAACGTATTTATTATAATATCATATAATATTTTAATAACATATATTAAAATTTTAATAACATATATTAATAATATTATATAATAACATATATAGTATAACGTATTTATCATATTATATTATACTAACATATATTAATAATATTATATAATAACATATATTAATATTTTAATAACATATATATAATATTTTAATAACATATATTAATAGTATTATGTAATATATTATTATATAATATTAATTAGTAATTATAGTATAACGTATTTATTATAATATTATATAATATTTTAATAACATATATTATTATATAATATATTATTATATAATTAATTTATAAAATATTATTATAGTTATTATATATATGACATACTTAAAAAATATTATATTGAATAAAATAAAGTATTATAATATTTTATAAAGTACATTATATCCTATGATACTATATTATAATATATTAAATTAAATAATATATTATTAAAATATTATATTATATATATTATTTATATATTATATCAATTATTATATAATGTAGCATACTAATATAATGTTAATTAGTAATTATTGTATAACATATTATATTTTTGTATAAATAAAATAATGTATTATATTATATATTATATTTTTAAAATATTATATTAAATATATTGATCATATATTATATTAATTATTATATAGTATATCATGCTAATATAATATAATACAATACAATATAATAATTAATAATAGTAATTTGTAAGTATAGTACAATATATTATATTTTAATATAAAATAAAATAATATTTATATTATAATAATATACTAAATAATATACTAAACCAATTGGATAAGTTAATTTAGAAGTAATTAATAGATAAAATTATATTTTAATAAGGTACCACATCATCAATTATCTCACATGAATTGTCAAATCAAATACTGAAATTATCCCATTATCCCACTTTACCCCACTCAAAATATCCCAAAGGGGTAAAATTGTTCCATTGGAACACTTTTCTCTCTTGGCCTCAATTTGTCCCAACCAATAAAACCCCCCTTATTTTCTTTATAGTCCCCCCATTGATAAAATGCATAGAAACATGTAATCCCTCAAGGAACAATTTCTCAGGAAAAAAAATCAACGAAATTGTTTTATAGAACCACATTCAAAAGGAATTTACTGAAAAAGATCTGCCCTCTTTCTCAAGGTAACACTCAATTCTCTGCTGCAGGTGAACCCGTCTTTATTTCTTATATTCTTTCCATTTTTTTTTTATTTTTTGATTTAATCTTTTATTTTTCTAATATTCACTCTATTTGCTCTAAACAATCTTAGATGGTAGAGTACAGATATGAGTAATATTTGTTTATCATGAAGCAGGTAAATTTTCCATGGCGATTTGATATTTGCTGAGTGTTTGTTTGAATTCCTCAAAGAAAAATGGTTGCGTGCTTTGTCAATGACTACAATGTTAACAAGAAAAATCGGCGCCCAATGGCCTTCTCTTAGCTATGAATCACTCTAAACCCTTTATTTTTTTAATTAGGAAAAACATGTAGGCATTATTTTTTTAAGCTTAGCTGTATACATCTAATTCCTTAATTTTGTACTTTTCGGTTCTCTGTTCCCTTGCCATAAATTAGTGCACCTTTATATTCCAATATGAATTGTAAAGAAAACCATAGTGCTGCAAGAGGAGAAATCATTCTAATTTGCGTGACAACCAATGAATATGGGCACATAAAAGAAACAAAATGTGCTGGCTTGTAAACAAACGAGTTCATGCTTTAGTGTGCATCCATCTAAATATCCTGACCCGGTGCGTTCCTTATCTTTCCTTGTTGCGCTCTTTCTGTAAACTCAAGCACTGAAATATTATAAATTTTTTTTCCCTGTGTCTTGACTGGGTACCTAACATTTATGTGGTAGCAGTGGTAATAATAATAACAATAAACTATGATAACGACTTCAGCCTTAAAAAAAAGTTTACTGGCGATCCCCTTGTTTGGATGATCAACACTGGCATGATAGTCTCCATTGAGACTGGAAAGAAGGTATATATACAGGTTGTGATTTCTGTACTTGTTTTCTGGAAAATATTCTACTATATCTAACTACTAGGTCCGGAGTATGGGCTCTATAGGCCTGTCACGCATTGAAAATACATATTAAGGATCACGCTAAATAGCACATTAATAAAACTTACTTATGTAGTTTATTATGACAACATAACGCTGAGCATAAATAGTAGCTCTCTCTCTCTCTCTCTCTCTCTCTCTCTCTCTCTCTCTCGATTAATATAAGTGGTAATTAGCTTCGCTCATGTTGAATGAAGAATGCACCAAGTGCATCAGCAACACTATGAGCTCTCGCATCTATATATCATGCAAATCTCACACATGGCTAGCGTTACTATCTCCAGTCCTCTTGTTGCCTCCAACTCTATTCTCGTTCTCTTCCTCCATTTTGCTCACATCTACGCCAACGGGGCTCATCTTTGCGATATCTGCAAGTACTTGCTCAGGAAGTTTGTTTTCCTGTTGCTTGCCCTTCTTGAAATCCTTGTATACAATGTAAAGGATCATTTGAATCACTCCAAACGTGAATCCCAGTATGTTTGGCGTCTACATTCACAAGTAAATATAGAGAAAAAAAGTTTATAAGTATTATGTATCTCCTCTAACATTAAACAAGAGAGCTTAAGTTATTGATAATGAATTTACCGCAACATATACGTCCCTGGTGAGCAGACCATAGAAGAACCAAGCAATAGCGCTCATGGTGAGGAAGAATGAAAGGAAAAATGGCATAAACTCCACGCTTTTTGTGCGTATAACGAGCCTCTGTAGATCCGAGCTGAGTAGTTAGGCATCTGACTTATTGTCGACTATCTCATAACAAATATCATATTCGAATGTAATAATTTTCGCTTGCAAGTGACTATAAGTATTTGTTTATCTTAGTATTCCAAACAATAATTATATAATAGAACTAATGCTTAGTTGAAATGCCACAGAATAGGTGCATCTTATGCGTATCTATAAACTAGTCTTTATAGCTGAAAGCTATTTGTACACTTCATATTTTTTGTTGTCGTCTTACATGCTGAACTTGTATACTAGCATATTTATAATTTAAAAAGGATTGTATAAACAATTCTAGATAAAGGTTAATCGCCAGATGGATTAAGTAAATTTTCCTTAAAAGCCAGAGGAGTAATTAAAATAGGAAATTGTTAAGATATAGAGCAAAGAATGCAATTTGTCTCTGATACCAAGTTTGCACCTGAAAGTAAATAATTGTGCAAGATCAAACCGAGTGTGTGGTTCTTACAATAATACTCAAAGGAGCTGCAAAGACGCTGACTGAGAAGGACATGTTGAACCAGCCAACAACCTTTACACGGTCAGCTCCCTTGAAGAACAAGAGGCTGATTAGAAGAATTAAGGAGAATAATATCACGTTCAATAGGAGCATCCACTTGATTGTGTTTATCTGCATATGTAGCAATAGCATAGTTAAGCAACCTGTACGATCATACGTGACTTAGGATTGCCAAAAAAAGTTACATTAATATACGAAAATTTTGCCATGATATTGATATAAGTGTCATGTCACCTTGGCCTTCTTTGGTGCGTAAATGAGATAAATAGTTAGATATGATAACTCAATAATGCATCCAGCTGTGTTGACGGTGATAATAAGGTATGCGTTAGTCTTAATAACGGCGTAGTAGATCAGTTGCATGGCACTGAATAATGCTACCACATAAGGAAATGACTGGAATCCTTCTGTTGATTTCTTTTTGCAAATCCTACGGAATGTCGGCCTGAAAATACAAGGATAAAATTAAGGTCTAGAATAGGGAACTTCTCTAGTAGAAACATGAAGAAAGGAAATGAAAACAATATGATTTCTTACACAGGGGAAAGGTAGACCATGCCGGAGAGGATGTTGCCTTTGAATTATTAACAAAGAGAAAAATGTCAATAGTGATTTGAAAAGTAATGTGTATAATTGACAAAAAGGATATAAGGAGCAACATTTAGGATCATGAAGATAATTATAGTATTATTCTCTACACATCAACATGTCAGCAGTGGATCAAAAAATCATGCGTCTTGGGTTTCTTAACCTATAATTCAAGCAACTAAAATAAGCTACTTTTGAAAATGTTGCAGGGTATTCATTCATGGAGATGAGTGTACTAGAAAATTTTAAGCCATATGATTTTTAATCTCCACGAGTTTTGAACTGTATAGATCATAATAAACAATTTGGATCAATATAGATGGTCCAAAATGCTTTTTTCATAGAGCGTTGAAAATTTCTTAGTTACACCGTATTAATGTTATATCCTTACACCTTCATACACGCACAACAAAAGTGAGTATGAGGTGACTGCTCATTTTGCTAAATGAGCTATCAAGTGATGCCCATGTTATAAGACTATCTTGCTATTTGCATTGAAATGTGTGATCCTTACTATGATATTTCTTGAGAGCTCGCTTTGCTATGAGCCACCATCTCATAATCATCAGATCCATTCTATATGTGTCTCTGTGTATAGTAATAGTTATCATATGAGTATATGACTTATGAAGGGATCCTCTCATATACAGATTTGGTTGCATCACAGCCAAGTGATGTGGGATGCGTTAAATAATGAAGAAAGAATCCATTTATTCACTGGGCTAAGATTCAGCGACATCACTATATATGAAAGAATCTTCTCACATGTCATATAATACCGATTATTTTCATATGCATATATATAGGTTGATGGTTATGGGTTGGCATCTGGCAAAATAAGGGATAGATTTTTGAAAACACCCATTTTTTAAATTTATATAGCAAAATTGACCGTTTTTGAAAAAATTAGCAAAACCGACCATTTTTAGATGAAAATGGTCGGTTTTGCTGGCGAACGGTTTTTCGGAAATGCACGGGGCTAGTAGTCCCGTGCATTTCGTTTTCTTTTCATTTCGCGCCTCCGTCGCCCGATCCAGACGTTTCCTTAATAATTAATATATATCGCCCTCAACACGAGCCCCCGTCCTCCCCCAATCCCGTCCCTCGAAATATCCAAATCATCCGCCAAGTTAAAAAAAGCTCGAAGACATAGCTGTCGGCAGCAGCGTGACGGTCGGCGGGGACTGGGCACCCGAGGCGAACTCGGAGGAGCAGCAGAAGCGGTCGGAGATCTACATGTACGAGGCGTCGTGGCATATCTATGCCATGAACTGGAGCGTGCAGCGGGACAAGAGGTACCGGCTAGAGATATCGTCGCTGCTGGAGCAGTGCTCGAACCACGTCGAGATCGTCCAGTTGGACGACTCCGCGGGGGAGATCCGCCCCGACCTCACCCTCTTCTTCTTCAACCCCTACCCACCAAGGCCATGTTCCTCCCAAAACCGCGACCCCTCCCGCCTCGACCTCCTCGCCACCTCCGCCGACTACCTCCACATCTGGCACCTCTCCGACGGCCGCGCCGACCTCCGCTCCCTCCTCAACGACAACAAGAACTCTGAGTTCTGCGGGCCCCTCACCTTCGGTTGGAACGAGGCCGAGCCCCGGCGCATCGGCGCGAAATGAAAAGAAAACGAAATGCACGGGATTGCTAGTCCCGTGCATTTCTGAAAAACTCTTCCCCAGCAAAACCTACCATTTTCATTTGAAAAGGGTCGCTTTTGCTGATTTTTTTAGAAACCGTCGATTTTGCCATATAAATTTGAAAAATGGGTGTTTTTAAAAATTTGTCCCAAAATAAGCTACCATAAGATAGAGGTGGGCTACAACGTCCTATGTGACTAGCAGGTAGGTCTCACCATTAACCTATCTTGGCAGTGGAAAATGAGCCGCCACCTCATACCCATATAAATGTTTATTTAGATATGTGTACATACACACACACAGTTTGTATGCGCACTAGTCTAGAACCAAGAATATTGTAGAAATCTGAAGAAGAAAAATACACTTATACTATCAATTTCTAATAACCAACTTTCTTCTAAGTAAACCTGCCAAAGTTCTCTACAAGCTGAAAAATAACCTTTTAAAAGCTGGATAGTCCTATGAGGACATTGACTTGATATTATAAGTAGAAGACGAAGAGAAAGAAATGTAAATTGTAGTGGTGGTGATAGTGGTAGCAGAAGGACTCTGATTATAATATGCGAAAAAAAAGATAGTAGTAGCAGAAAGACAATATCACATTATGGAATAGAAGATAAATGAAAAGAAGAACATAATTGAATTAGTATCACAGCAGAAACAAAAAAAAAATGTGATGAGGCAGAGAGCTCTCATCACCTAGGAGGCCAAAGATGAAGGCCCATGGATGGTCAAAAGACATCTCTGCTTTGCTAGAGGAAGAAACAAAAGATTCTCCTTACTTAACAACCCTCTAGCTAGTTTTCTGGTTCATATAGGTTGGTGTGAACCAGTATATATATAGGGTGGTATGGGAGCATGAGTTAACACTTCTTCTCGCTCTTGTTGAATTAGGTCATTCATCCACCAACTAAAGGATAATATATAATTAATCCTGGAAAGTTAGTGTTTGGTTAACCTTCATGAACGTCTTCTACGCTTTTGTACTGTGCGGTAACAGTTACTCATTCACAACACACGACTAATACCTGAACACTTCTTTAAATAGTTCATAGCATGTATGAAGAAATAAATATAGTTAAAACTAAAAAAATATTAACAATGGTTTAAGTAGCTGTTTCATAGACGTTGTCACTTTTCACAAACAACGGAATTTTTATGGTAAATGACTAATTTGAGAAAGATTAAAATTATAGGAGCTTTTAGCTAACCTTTTGTGGAAATCCAAACTGTTAACTATGAATTAACAAAGCTGCCGACTAATCATGCTACTTAGTTACGTGACTTAGAGAGTAATTAGATATTAAATTAACTAATGGTGCTGATATATAGCACTGACCGCATTGTAACTATATACACAGACATACCACACACCACACTGGCTAGCTATCTAGATACTGAAACGTGCATCTACACTAAAACTCCCAAATAAGTTTCTTAATCATCTGTCTGTTGTACATTATGATAATGCATAAAAGGAATGTGATTAATGTACTTTTATATCCATTCTAGAGAATGGAGTATAAATAATGTTTTATGGAGGATTCTCTGAACTACAAATGTATATATCTTGATACCAAAGTGAAAAATTCCAACGTGCCAGCACCTACCCTTTCCCAAGACTTGATGAGCCTTTTCCTATGGGAAACATTCCCATGGCCAATGCTTTAAAGGAAGTAGTATTATTCTATGCAAAGGGCAAAGGTCTCTTTAATAGATCAAAAAGCTTGTAGGCTCTCTGAAAGACTAAATAAAAGCTAGTTTGGGCTTGTGTATGTTATCCTCTGTTGCGCCAACGCCAACTGTGAGAACACCAAGGCTTTTGTTTAAAAGTTCAAAGCACTCACTCTTCTAGTTTAGTCTGGGAAAAACTTAGAATGGGATCATCTGATGCTGATAAAATTGGAAAACAATAGTATATGAAGTATCGTACAAATTGCATTTGATCCATGGGTGAACACGGACAAGAAACTTACTTAGCACATAGCTGAACCATGATGGCCAACTTTGTTTAAACGGAAATGTAATTCAAATGCTTAGTCTCCTATCATCTCCTGACCTTTAATTCTATCAGCTTCCTTTCGTTTCATGCCATTATCAGTGCTCTTATCTTAGTCATGCACCTTTTGCTTTTTTCATCTCTTTTCTTAGCCATTCATGGTAGAAGGACCAACTTACTGTTGCAGTCCACTAATACTGATTATCTCATCTAATCTCATTTAATCAAATCTATACACCTTGATTTACATCTAATCAAATCAATACATCTCTATCTACATCCAAATTTAAACCCAGGGAATTATAAAGTCCGTGCATTTGCATTGCTTAACCATTAATGGTGCAGGAGTCACTCTTACACCCCGCTACTGCGAATTATCTTGTTTAATTAATGCATATATCTCTATATGCATCAAGTTTAAAAGGCATGAAAAGTTCATAGTGGCATGTGGCAAGTTCCTGGTTCTGAACTGGCTTAAAGCTCAAATCTCTTATTATCTTATTGTTGAGCTTATTGATGATTTCTGACTAATTAAGTGATCCATGACAGATTATGGTGAAACAAGCGCGAGATTAGCCTCTTTCCTGATACAAAATCTCTTGTGTCATGATCCATCAAGGTATTTACGCTTTCAATCTTGTTAAGTAAAGCAGAAAATAACTGCTGAAATGTTTAGACATACACTTAGGTCAAGTTTTACATTGACAATTTAAATTTAGTCTTGATAGAATTTCCTCTGAAAATATTTGTTATTCTTTTATTTAATTAACTGTTAGATGAATACTCTGATTTCTCCCATTGCTTAAGTCAATTCAGTTTGATGCCAGTGCAAACACTCAGAAAAAGGAAAATGATGAGGGAAAAATGAGATGAGAAAAGACACTATTTATTTTTATTTGTTTGTTTGCTTAAAATACCTGATAAGCTTTCATTAAATTACCTCGTGACATGCGTGCAGAAAGGAAAAAAAATAAATGAACCAGTAGCTAAAGTGTACGATTAATTGTTTCATATATGTTCTCACATTTCAGAAACAATTGAATTTTATGGTAAATTTTTAATTTGAAAAGAAGAAAATGGAAGCAATGTTTAGGTAGCCACTAGTGGAGAAAGGACTTTCAGGACCCAATACTTGGCTTGTTTGATGGCACTTGAATATTCCAGTCTAGCATATAACATATCATGTGCTGTTAAATGATTGAATTCAACTTCACATTGCTTAAAGTGGGATCTGGATAGTGGATTAACGTGTATTTGAAGTGGTTAGGATTGGGCATCATGTTGGTCTGATATGGAGGTTCCAAGAAGCTACTGGGTTATCTTTGTTTTTTCTACTTTGCATCTGAACACTAGGCATAAGCTCTTCATGTCACGAGTACTCAGCAAAATAGGCTACTTCAGCGCCAACCATCATTGGCCATGGTCCCTGGTCTGCACAGTATTCGTTTTATGTACATGAGTTTTCCTTTCCATGATATGTTGGGGAAAATACCAGTCTGGTAATTTAGCCTAATTATTGTTACACACTATTTAATTTCTTGACTAGTTAGGTAACAACCTGTTACATGATATTTTGTTCATCGTTCTTAAACCTATATGCAATTGTATGCACTTTCTTTTACTTTTCCTTTGGTACCACTAGTTGTGATCACATTATGATGATCCTGATCTTGCACATCCAAATTGCATGTAGCAGCTCATTAGTCGGACAAGACTTATAGTCTCGAAGTTATTGTATATAGTTAGTATTGTTAGATTTATAATTGGTTGAGAGATGGTGTACTGTCCATTATGTATATTTCTTTATTTAGACGTTCACTTGTCTTGACTGTATTCCTGTTTAGTGTTTTCAATCGGATTACAGAATAATTTGGTGGGTTGTAGTATTTAAGTATTTGGGTTAGTTTTTAGTAGTATTTGGTTTTTCTGGATTTGCTTGAGTTAGTAGGAATATTTGTGGTCAATTAATTCTTGAGGGTTAGTGTGTCCTTTAGGGGGCTTCTTCTCTGATGAATACGTTGTGAACCGATTTCAGTTCTTGTCAATTACGACGTAGGAAGCAGGGTGTGACAACTATTGTTCCCTTCTACAGTATTGTGACTAATACGTTCAATTTGTAAGGTCGTCACCTTATTTCAGTCACTGTTGTACCTATTGTTAAGGCCATGCTCTACTTTCGATGTTAGTCAAAATTGGAGGACCAGGGTTTTCTTTCACTTAAACGGAACAACTTAAATCAACAAAATAATATGAATTATAGTTTTGGGTAATATTTTCCCATTACACAGATAAATGACAATCAGTCTTCAATATAGCCCATACAATTTATTATATAAAGTATAGAATAAAGCGCCTTTGTTATTTTTGTTGAAACATTCCTTTTTACTATGAGAAGACTCTTCGGTTTGCTACTGCTGAAGCTGTATGCAGCTCGAACTGCTCCAACTAAGCTCATAAAGATCATTTACTACAATTAAAATAGTGACTAGAACAGCTGAATACTATACGTATTAAGAACACCGAAAATGCAGCAAGTGCATTAGCAACACTCTTAGCTCTTGCATCTTCGATCCAAGTCTTACACTTGGCTCATAACCATATCAGCATCTCCAGCCCTCTTGTTTCCATTAGCTGACTCCTTGTTGTTGCCGTCCCTTTCCTCCATCTCCATTTTGCTCACATCTACACCGACAGGGCTCATCTTTGCGATGTCTGCAAGTACTTGCTCAGGAAGCTTGTTTTCCTGTTGTTTGCCCTTCTTGAAATCCTTGTATACTATGTAGAGGATCATTTGAATCATTCCAAATGTGAATCCCAATATGTTTGGTGTCTATTTTCACAAGAAATTTATGGAAAAAGGTGTAAGTATTCTTTTATAACTATAAGATTAAACAAAAGAGTCTTAAGTTATCGATAAGCAATTTACCGCTACATATACATCCTTGGTTAGAAGACCATAGAAGAACCAAGCAATAGCGCTCATGGTGAGGAAGAATGAAAGGAAGAACGGCATAAACTCCACACTTTTTGTGCGTATAACGAGTCTCTGTAAATTCAAGCAGATTAATAAGGCATTTTACTTCTTTTCGGCTATCTCAGAACATATATCATGCACGAATATGATAATTCGATGACCATCGATATTTATTAATATTATTATATCCGTAATCATTACATAATTATAAAACTAGAGCTTAGTGGAAATGCCATGGAATAGATGTCCCTTAGGAGCATGCCGCACATCTATATGAAAGTGCTTATTATAGCTGAAAGCTAATTTATAATTCATATTTTTCTTCTGTCATGTATGGGGCCCTTGTATGCTAACATATTTATAAGTTAAAAAGAATTTGTTATACAATTGTACGTAAAAGGTGAATTGCAGGATGGACAAAGGAAATATTCCCTAAAAGCCAAAGGATTCAAACAGAAAATTCTATCTAAGATATAAAAGAACTTCAATGACATGCTGTTTTGTTTCTGAAACTGATTTTACACGAGAAAGTAAATAATTTCACAAGAACAAATCAAGTTTGTAGTTCTTACAATAATACTCAAAGGAGCTGCAAAAACGCTGACTGAGAAGGACATGTTGAACCAGCCAACAACTTTTACACGGTCAGCTCCCTTGAAGAATAAGAGGCTTATGAGAAGAATTAAGGAGAATACCACCACATTCAATAGGAGCATCCATTTGATTGTGTTAATCTGCGTGTATAGCAATAGCATAGTTAGACAAACTTTACAGTCATTTGTGATGTAGTACTATAATGCAAATGTTATGTTAGAACACGGAAATTTTGGCGAGGAGATAAACTTCATCTTACCTTGGCCTTCTTCGGTGCATAAATAAGATAAATAGTTAGATACGTTAACTCGATAATGCATCCAGCTGTATTGACCGTGATAATAAGGTATGCGTTGGTCTTAATAACGGCATAATAGATCAGTTGCATGGCACTGAACAATGCTACCACATAGGGAAATGATTGGAACCCTTCTGTTGATTTCTTCTTGCAAATCCTGCGGAAAGTTGTCCTGAAATTACAAGGATAAAATTAAGTTCTACACTTGAACTTCTCAAGTAGAAACAAAAAAAAAGGTTAATTAGAATAATAGGATTTCTTACACTGGGGAAAGGTAGACCATTCCGGAGAGGATGTTTCCTATGAATCATTAATAAAGGAAAAAAAAATGTCAGTGATTTGAAAAGTAAACTTGTATGATTTATACAGCAATATGATAGTCACATTTCTATAAGATACTTTCATGTACTAGTTCATGATAAATTATGTAAAAACTTGAAAAAGAAAAAAAGTCATTTTTACCGTCTGAAAGTGCTAAATTAACTGACTTTCTTCAAAGTAAACAAGCCAAAAATTCTCAATAAACTACTATAACATAACATGGTAAAAGCATGAAATAGAAGTCATGATAAATGAAGACAAGGAAATGTAATTGTATTTAGTCAAGAGCAGAAAACAATAACAAAGTGCAAGAAAGTGGGGGGGGGGGGGGGGGGGGGGGGGGGGGGGAGAGCTCTCTCATCACCTAGGAGGCCAAAGATGAAGACCCATGGGTGTCAAAAGCAAACCGGCCCATCTCTGCTACACCTTAAGGAAGAGAGAGAAGAGCCTGATAGAAAAACAAGCTTCGACCCTCTTCCTCTTACTGGAGGAACGTCTTTGGCTAGTTTGTGGCCTCCTAAGGCTAGTTTGAACCAGTTTATATAGGGCTCTGTTGGTGCATGAGTTCACATTCCTTCCTCAACCTTGCATGAATTAGGAGATTCCTCCACTAACTTAATGATAATGTATGTTTAATTCTAGAAAGTTAGTGCTTGGTTAGCCTTCTTGAAGTTGTCCTAGCCTTTTGCAATGCGCATGGAGAAATTTCCAGTTGAGTTCAAAATAAATACTTTACAATATGCATGGGGAACTGACACATCAATTAAAAACTAAATAAACAAATGAAGAGTGTTCAATTAGTTGTTTTCATACAAATTGTCACTTTTGACAAACAATGGAATTGTTATGGCAAACGTCTAATTTGAGAAAGATTAAAATAGAGGGAACTATAGCTAACCTTGTGTGGAAACTAAAACAGTTTACAAATTAACAAAGTTTCTGACTAATCATTTTACTTATCATGTGATTTAGAAAGTAATTAGGTACTAAATTAACTTATGATGTGGATATATAGCACTGACTACATTGTGACCGTATACGCAGACAGACAACAAACCAAACTGGCTAAGCAATCTAGATATTGAAACGTGCATCAACACTAAAACCCCCAGTTAGAGTCTTTAATTATTTATCTTTATATGTTCTGATCCGTACAAAAGAACTATGCGTGGATCAACTTACTACTTGACCCACTCTAGAGAGTGGAGTATAAAATATGTGTCTGGGAGGATTCTCTGAGCTAGAAATGTGTATGTCTCGATACCAAAGTGGAAACTTTCAACGTGCCAGCTTGTAACCTTCTCCAAGACTTGATGAACATTTTCCAGTGCCAGGCATTCTCATAGCCAAAACTTTAAAGGAAGTAGTACTATTCTATGCCGAGGGTTTATCTATGTTATCCTCTGTTGCTCTCAGGCCAACTGTGAGAACACCAAAGCTTTTGCTTAAAAGCTCAAAGCACTTGCTCATCTAATTTAGCCTGGAATAAACTTAGATGAGATCATCTGATGCTGATAGAAATGGGAGGGGAAAAAAATATGTCAAGCATCACACATTCATTTAATCCGATTGTGAAGACCCGGGTAGGAACTTAGTACAGTACATAGCTGAACCATGATGAGCAACTTTGTTTAAAGAGAATGTAATTCAATTGCTTATGCTCCTATCATCTCCTCACCTTTAATTCCTTTTGCTTCATGCCATTATCAGTGCCTCTCATCTCAGTCATGCTCCTTTTGCTTTCCTTTTTGTCTTCTCTTTGCTTAGCCATTCATGGTGCAAGGACCTTATTGTTGCAGTCCACTAATACATATTGTCTCACATAATCAAATCTATACACCTCTATCTACATCCAAATTTAAACCCAGGAAATCATAAAGTCCATGCAACTGCATTGCTTAACCATTAATGGTGCAAGAGTCGCACTCTTACAGTCCACGAAGCCTGATCATCTCATTTAATAAATGTATGCATCTCAATATATGCATTCAAGCTTAATCTTAAACAATATTAAACTGGCAGCTACTGCCAGTATACTAGAACTCCAAATGTATGTCAGAGTTAAGGATATATATTAAGAAACTGTTAGTGTGCACGTCAACTCCAACTTGGAGTATTATATGATTGGTGTTAAAGTGGAGCCTTTTTTTAACATACCAATAAGCTTAATCAGAACCTATCTTTAATTATGCCCCGCTCAGCCGTTTGTTTAAAAAACACTATAGAAGGAAAAAGAAAAAGAAAAGCTCGTTGGAGAAATGTATATCACTTAAGTTTTGTAGCACAGAACTGGCTGACTGTTTTCCAGCAAAGTGTAAAAGTGCACACATAACACATATTTGAAGCCTTAGCCAGCTGTCGTGCCGATATCGTGCAATTAAAGAACCAATGGCTTCTATGTTCATGATGAGGTGATGAAAGTTTGATGAAATGCAAAGCTAGTTGTGAGGGATTCGGAGTTCAGCCACTTGTTTGCATATAGTGATACCTGAATCTTCTCAAGCAAGCTGCATGTCAATTATATAATGATTTTATTTGTTTCCTATTTCTGAACTGGCTTAAAGCTCAAAGCTTTTTTTATTTATTTGTTTGGGTTATTTCGATATATATTAGTCTCTTTAAATCTTTCATGTTTGGAGATTAGTCTCCCAAATCATTTGCTTTGCTATTGGGTCCCCCAAATCATATAAGACTTCTAAAATTAGTCCCTCTGTTATAAAATCCATGCAATCGATTAACCATGGTTAGGTTAGTGCTTAACTATGGATGTGTACTGACCAAATTGCCCTCATTAAATAAACTCCAAATGTCAGTTTCCCTCTCTCTAGTTCCCGCTTCATCTTCTGAAATAGGGAACAAATTTTCCCTCTCTGTCACCCCCAAAATAAGCACCAAAATCCTTCCCTCTCATCCCAAATCAAGTTGGGGTTTGTATTAAGAGGGTATATCTGGCATTCCATATCAAAAGGTTGAAGTGAACGAATATTCAAAACCAAAACCCCCCCCCCCCTCCCAAAGTTAAACGGGTGATAACTAGGGGTGGAAATGAACTAAGTAATTAACAAATAGTTCGATAATTGTTCGAATAACTATTCGGTCATATTCGATTTGGTAGTTCATTTAGCACTAAACAAATATTTTTTAGTATTCGAGTTTACTAATGAATAGAATTTAACTAGATGTATATTTGTCGTTTGTCTATTAAATATTCGTTTGAATTTTGATCACAACTTATTATTTGTATTATTGCACATATGATGTCATATTTTTAACCCACTTATCATTTCTACTTAAGTTTTATATACTGATTTTAAGATTTAAATAATCTTAAATCTGCTTTTTAATTAAAATTTTGATTTAAATATATATCAATCATATATTATAAAGGAATAGTTTTTATTTATGAATTCTAATACTATTTGAAAATCAAATTATTTAGCGGAATAAATATACTTTGCTATTCGATAAGTATTCGTGAATATTCATGAATATTTATCAAATACCAAGTATTCGAGTTCGAGTTCGAATTCGAAAAACTAGATATATGAATATTAAAGTCAGAAACTCGAATTCGATAATTTTAAGCAAATACAAATACGAACAACTTAGTATTCGATTCGATTCGATCGTTTACCACTGTTTGGTGGAAAATTTATGAAATAAAAATAAAATAATTGTGTTTGATTTTATTCTCTCTAACTGCTTAGAAACAGAATGTTTACAACTCTCTCAATCTCAATTACAATTTGGATTTCCTGATTACAAAAGAGAAGAGAATTGATCTGAATTCTCCCCTTTGTTTAAGTCTGGGTTCTTCATGGTGGCGATGGAGTGCCTCCCTCAAATGCTCGTGTCGAGTTTGCTCTCCGTTGACGATCCGATATTTCTCTTCACTGGAACGATATCTTCTCCTCACGATTTGATGCCGTGGAGAACTTACGTGGTAAGTTTTAAAGAACTCTTAATGAGTTGATAACTCTGAACGAGTTTGAAACTCTATGAAAGAGTTGATTTAACCGAAATCAGTTGTAAGTCAAGGATGAAGAAAGCTCCTGTTTTCGATCTCCAAAGCTCCAATAATTCCCCTAAAAAGCCAGCGGAAGATCTCTTCTTCTCTGTCAAATCCCAATGACCTGAAATCAGTTGAGTTTACTCCTATTTATAGGGGATTAATGGTGTAACCGTCCCCTTAATTCTCTCCATAATGGGATTGAATGGGGTGTAATCGCCCCCTTAATCTGCTTCTAAGTGGGACGGAAATCCCTCCAAATATGGGGGAAAACGGTTCCTGAAACCGTTCAGCTCGTGTTTGAACGAGTCAAACGCCGAAAATTGCATTCTGGGCCCGAACTCTGCGTTTTAGACTTGAAACGCAGAGTTGAGCCTGTTTTAGACTGAAAACGCAGTGTTCGCACAGCGTTATAAATCTGAAATGCAGAGTTGGGACGCAGAGATGAACTCTGTGTTTTGAGTTCACGAACTCTGCGTTTTTATTTGGAGCGCTGGGGCTGACCTCTGCGTTTTGACTCTGAAACGTGGGTATGACCTCTGCGTTGACTCTGAAACATGGGTATGACCTCTGCGTTTTGATGTTATAACACAGGGATGACCTCTGCGTTTTGATGTTGTAACACAGGGATGACCTCTGCGTTTTGATGGTGTAACGCAGGGATGACCTCTGCGTTTTGATGGTGAAACGCAGGGATGACCTCTACGCTTTGATGTGAAGAGACCATCAATTTGTGGTCTCTTTTGCTGGAGCGTTGCAAAGACCGTCATCTTGTAATCTTCATCTTGGCTCCTTAAAAATATGAGAGTCGTCAGATTGTAACTCCCGATGTTGATTGTGAAGGCTGTTGAACTAGAGTTTTCATCGGTTGTTGTAAAGATCGTCAGATTGTAACCTTCATCGATCTACGTGAAAGTATTCAAATTATAGCCTTCTGGAAGTCGTCAGATTGTAATTTCCACCATCGGTGTTTGATGGGGGATCAGCTATCTGCAGTGATTTTTAGACAACCTACAACCATCCCTAGTCATAACTAGGAGAACTAATTTCAAAGAACTTATATGATTTTGGGGACCTAACAGTAATTTCAATGATTTGGGGTGCTAATCTCAAATTCTGAAAGATTTAATGGACTATTACCAAAACCCAACTTTTTCGTTGAATTATTGATGTTTGGTGACTAGTAGGGTTTCCATGGCAGATTATTCGAAGCAAGTGTGGGTTTAGCAATTTCTCGATGGAAAATCTCTTGCATGATGACCCATCAAGGTATTTATACTTTCCTTCTTGTTAGATAAACTGCAGAAGTTTTTGATTCCTGATGGAAGTTCCTCTGAAAGTATGTCATTCTTGATATAATATATTATTGGACAAAATATTCTGATTTCCACATTACTTAATTTTATTCAATTAAGCTGATGCTAGTAAAATATATTATTGGACAAAGCACTACGATTTCTGCATTACTTAATTTTATTCAACTTTAGTATTTGTTTGTTTAAAGTTGTTTGTTTAAATTGCATGATCACTTTTGATTAAATTACCTCACAAAATGCATGAAGAAAGAGAAAAACTAATAAACTAACGGTTAGAGTGTTTGATTAGTTTTTTTATACAAGTTTTCGCTTTTCAGAAACAACTGACTTTTTATGTCAAAGTTGTAATACGAATACGCTTTAAAGCGAAGGAATTTTTAGCAAACCACTCATGGAAAATAAAATGCCTTTGAGGAACCGAGTTTGATGCATTTGAATACTCTTGAGATTAATGAATGCATGACATTTCATGTACTGTAAAAATAATAAAATGAATTTCACATCGGCTAAAGAGGGATCTGGATAGTGAATTGCACATCATGTTTGTTCCGATAAGCTACTAGGCTATTGTATACTTTTTCTACAACGCAACCAAGCACGAAGCATAAGTTCGTCGTGTCATGAAAACTTAAGCAGTACGGACAGCTTAGTCTCCAGTCACCTGTTTCTGTGTTCCTGGTATGCACGAGCTACAGTTTAAATACACGAGCTTTCGATCCTGTCAGTTCCAAACAACTTGAAATCTGGAGATAATGATTATTGTTGTTTCACACTATTTATTTTCTTTAGTAGTTAGGTAACATCCTGTTACCTGATATCTTCTTTCATCGTTCTTATCCTAAATGCATGTGTATGCACTTGTGATCGCGTTGTAAAGATCCTGAATTTGCATTTTCATACTGCAGGTAGCAGCTAATGACTTGGACAAGACTTGTTAGACTTGTACATTGATCCTGAATTTGCGTTGTGTTCTCGCGATTACTGTACAATGGGAAGCAGGGTGTGACAACCATCGTCTCCTTTGAACAGTATTTTGATGGATTTGCAAATCTTGGGAGCCCGACGTCTCCTTCAGCCGGTGTCTTACTGAATGTTGAGGCCGTGGTGTCTTTCTTTCGGTATTAGCCAAAAAAGGGTGATCGGGGTCTCCTTCGAATTCCTGCAACTGGGAGATGTAGCATGTTCAGTTGGGCTGAAACTGGGCCCAAAAATGACAACAGACTATTTAATTTCTACTATGCATGTTGGCGTCTCCGCCATCGGAAGGCTGTGGACGCATTATTCTTATGCTTCACCGTATATTGTAGAAATTAATGAACACCCTTTGGGGGAATCGGAAAAGGACGCAAGAAATCTACACGAACATAGGCAAGTGTTCCCTTAGTATGATGCGCGCCCCTTTCGGAGAACTAAAACATGGCGTTGTTCGTCGTGGATGTAATGCTCGTATAAATTCAGACGGGAAACCATATGCTGCTCGCCAAAGAAACGAACTCTCTACCCCTTCTTGCTCATGCAATCAAGTCGCGCGTGCTGTGAAGTCAACTTTATTTTTGTCTTTTCTCTAGATGCATTTGATAGTGAATCCATGACAGCCTTTCCCTGTAGGAAACACCTGTCCACTCTTCACTTCCTTCCTCGCAAGCAGAGCACCCTGAGACACGAAGAACTGCGAAGACAATCTTGTAACCCTTAGATTCCATAACTGTCAATGAAATAAGATTGGCACTTGATCATCTGTCTTGATTTGCCTCATCTCAATTTTTTCTTGCAGAATCTTTTCTCTGATAAAATGATAGTGCACTTCAACATGCTTAGCTCTTGCATGAAAGACCAGATTCTCCGCCAAACAAATTGTCGACTAATTGTCACAGTACAACGAAACTGCATAATCTACTGGTTGATGTAGATTATTCATTAGCTGTACCAATCATGTACTCTCTTGAGCTACCATTGTTGTTGTTTGATACTCAGCTTCAGTGGTTGATAATGATATCGCCGGCTGTCTCTTGCTACACCAAGAAATTATTCCAGAACCAAGCTTAAACACATACACGGTTGTTGATCTCTTAGTGTCATGATCTCCTGCATAGTCAGCATCACTGTAACCAACTAACTTGTAGACTCCACCTTTCTTGTACAAAAGACCATAGTCAATTGTACTCTTCACATATCTCGGTATTCGTCGAACTGCTTCCAAATGAGGCTTCTTTGGATTTTGCATGTACCGACTCATCACACTAACTGCATAAGAAATGTTAGGTCGAGTCAAGGTTAAGTAGATCAGACTGCCTACCAATTTTTGATACATTGTCGCATCTTCCAAATCTTTTCCTTCATGCGCACGCATTTTGGTATTTGGTTCCATCGGCGTCGAAATTGGCTTGCATTCAAGCATTCTGAACCTCTTCAACAAATCTTTGGAATATTTTGCTAAGGGAGGGTTAGTCACCTAGAACTTAAAATTAGAACTGGGATAATATGTGGGATAAATTTTTAAGGTGTTAGTCACATAGAACTAAAACTAAAATAAAATTTTATAGTATTAGTCAAGTAGAACTCTAACAAAACTAGAATTGGGATAATGTTATAAAATTATCCCATTTTTTTATTTTTCTATACAAAAATGAGAGTTCTAGTCTCTCAAATTATTCCAAGTTTTAACTTGGAACTAGGTGGTAAAAAAACTAGAACTCATATTTATTTTGTTATTTTTTATTTTTTATATTTCTTTTTTTTCTTTACTTCTTTCCTATTATGGTGATCACCATCATTAAACCATCATAATAATAATAATTGTCAATATCTTATAGTCTAACCAAAAGTTATTTAATAGTAAAGAACATTCTTGTAAGCAATTATTAATCAATAATAGTAAGTTTAAAATACATAAATAGTATTTATATTTAAAATACATAAATAGTATTTATATCTTCAAAATGCATAAATATATATTTCATCATTATAAAAATTTATCCCACGCTATTTAATCAAAATATCCCGCTTCACAAAATTGTTCCTATTTATCCCACTAAAATATCCTACTAGCGAAAAATTATTCCACTTTAACAATTATCCCATTTTGCATGAAAATGTCCCAATTGACTAACACCCCCTAACAAATAAATATTCCTTCTTGTGTGCGATCAACCTCTAGACCAAGAAAGTGCTTGAGCTGTCCAAGTTCCTTCATCTGAAAACGGACTGATAAAATTTCCTTCGTCCGAACAATTCCTGCCTCATCATCACCGGTTATGATTAAATCATCTGCGTATACTAGCACGATAACTAGCTTTCCTTCATTGACTTTGACAAACAAGTTAGAGTCTGTAGAAATTCAACAATCTTACCATACCACGCCCTGGGTGCTTGTTTTAAACCGTAAAGTGTTTTCCGTAGTTTGCACACATATTCAGGATGATCTTGGCTCTGAAAACTCATTGGTTGAATTATGTAGATCTCTCGATCCAGCTCTCCATGAAGAAAAGCATTCTTCACATCCATCTGCCACAATTCTAGTCTTTGTTGGCTGCAAGTGCAAGTAGGACTCGTACAATTGTAAGTTTTGCGACCGGACTAAACGTTTCATCATAGTCTAGTCCGTACTATTAAGAGAAACCACGAGCTACCAATCATGCCTTGTACCTTGCTATTGACCCATCTGGACAACGCTTTATCTTGTAAACTCATTTACAGGATATGAGTTTCACATCTCCTGGCTTTGACGCCAGATCCCAAGTCTGATTTTGCTGAAGTGCATCGATCTCTTCTTTCATAGTTGCCATCCACTCAGAACTTCATGATGCTTCTTCGAACGTCTCAGGTACTATTATAGTAGCTTCTTCAACTATGGCTGGATTGGCGTATTTGGGATTTGGCCTTCGTGTTCTTGTTGACCTTCAGAGTTAAAATTGTAGAGTTGATTCTTCCATTTCACTAGGCCTACCTTCTTCGTTTGGTTGTTGATATACGTCAGTTTGCCAAGGATACCGAGTTACTCTTTGTTCGTCATCATCGTTGTTTGGATCTCATGATTCATCTAAACTTGGTTGGAGTTGAACAGTATGCTCCCCTATCTTTTGTTGCAGCTTGTCTCCAAATTCTCTTGAGTATGGCAACACATCCTTCTCTGAGGACCATCAAGAAGATGCTTCATCGAACACCACATCTCGTGAAGTGTAGCATTTTCCACTTGTTGGATCGCAACATTTCCACCCCTTTCTCTGGCTGTTGTATCCCACAAAGATACATCTAACAGCTTTCTTGTCAAACTTGCTCCATAAATGATAAGGAACAAATGCATAACATACACAGCCAAATACTCGGAAGTAGCTAACTGTAGGTTTCATATTCCACAATTTCTCAAAGGGTGAAACAAATCCTAACCTTGGTTGAGGAAGTTTGTTGATCATAAAGGATGCAGTCCTCATTGCTTCAGCCCAAAACCTTCCTGGTACGTTCTTTGCATGTAGCATACTTCGACAAATTTCTGCAAGATGCCGGTTCTTTCTCTCTGCTACACCATTTTGTTGTGGCGTGTTGGCACACGTGTACTGATGACGTATTTGACATTCCCTTAGGTATTGAGAGAACTCACTTGAGCTATATTGCCCCCCGTTATCTATGCACAAGCAATGAATCTTCTTTCCCACTTCTCCTTTTGCTGACTCTCTGAACTCTTTAAACTTTGAGAATGTGTCAGATTTTTCTTTCATAAAAAAACCCACATATACCTTGAGAAGTCATCAATGAATGTCACCATGTACCGCATACTGCCAATGGATGGTTGCTTAACGGGCTCGAATACATCAGAGTGAACTAACTCCAATAGTTCTTTTGCTTCAAACTTTGATTCCTCGTATGGCAATTGGTGTGCTTTACCACACTGGCATCCTGCACAGATCGTGTCTGTTCGCACATCTAGTTGAGGAAGCCCCTTAAGCATTGACTTTTTCATCATCACACTTAGCTTGGAATAGCTAACGTGACCTAACCGCATGTGCCATAGATCTATTGTCTCATTTTTTTTCTTGTCTTATCTACATATGCAGATTCTGCTAACATCACGTAGACTGATTTTTAATCGCCGCCCCTCCATTGTTGGTGTTTCTGAAATTTTGAGATCACGATACACCTTCACATCTCAGGGACCGAACAAGACATAGTGGCTTGATGATGTTAATTGACCCACAGATAGCAAGTTTTTCATCATTCCTGGGACATGATAAACATCTTGAAGTAGCATCTGGTTAGAATTATATCGAGGCGTAACTAACGTCTTACCGATGTGAGCTATCGATAACCTTGAGTTGTCGGCAGTCACTACTACACGACCTCCCTTATACTCAGACATGCTTTGCAACTTCCGTTTATCACCCGTCATATGATTTGACCAGCCCGAATCTATGATCCAGTCATTCTTGTAGTCAATCTGTTTTGGTGTTGTTACCGTGAGAGCTAATTCTTCTTCTGTAGCGAATAATGCTTCGACATCCCAACCATCTTCGCTATTCTTCTTAGAACTGGAAGTAGCAGTATTACTTTCAACAGGCTTTTTCTTGGTCCAACAATCTTTCGCCATGTGGCCCATCTTCCCGCAGTTATGACACTCACCATCAAACTTTCTACTATTACCACGATTCTTTGAAGTTCCCCTTGGACGATAGTCTCCCTTTCCTTGGTGAATTTCCACCTTGTCACCATCCTTTTTAGATCCACCATCAGTGTGCCACTTGAAACTACTTTCGCTTTTGTTGGTGTAGAGCGCTTCCTCTTCACCCTTCAGCAAGACTCCTCCCATTTGCTTGGCCATAGCTTCTTGACCTGCAAGCAAATTTTCAAACTCAACAAGCGATGGTTGTGTCGGCCATCCTTGTATAGCGGCAACGAACCCTCAATATTCAGGTCTCAAACCATGGATAATTATTCTCTTTATCCTGGTTTCTCCAATCAGAGCTTCCGGATCTAATTCTAAAATTTCGCGGCATATCGACTTCACCTTGTGAAAATACTAGGCAATCGTCATGTCACGTTGCGTCATCGATAGCAGCTCATTCTCGGGAAGTTGCAGTCTTGTATCATTCTTCTTTGAAAAGAGTGTAACAAAGGTGTCCCATGCTTTCTTCGGTGTTTTAGCATCCCGAATGTGCTCCAACATTTCTTCTTCAACTGGGGTCTTTAAAGCAAACATCGTTTTTCCTGCTTTAATTAGAAATAGTCATAAAGGATACACACAGAAAATGGGGAGAAAAGGCGATTATCAAAACAACTAGAAACTAGAGATTAAGGAGAAGACCTTGACGTCACCTAATGCACAGTAATAATCGTTCAATAAGTTTGACAAAACCCCATTTTAAAGCTAACAACTAGATTGTTTACTTGCTGGACATCCAGCATAACCATATGTATAAACAAAATACCCATATACAAAAATCGTCTCAGCTACAACTTGTCGATGATAGATTCATATCATGTAAAGTAATGCAGTGTGGAAGTGATGAAACTCGGAATCTACCAATAGGTGTTCTCTAAATTCACAAAGAACAATCTTTGAATCCACGAAGTAAAAGATAACTTTATTGATAAAAGTGATATGATTTATGATGTTACATTCCTACTTCTTAAATAGAAAAAGAAAGCATACTCCTAATAAGAACATAATTCCTAAAAAACAATTTAAAACTACCTAAAAGTCTCTTTATAATAAAGGAAACAAATTCGTCCTAATTAAATCAAAACTGATTTTGTTTCCTAATCTAAATTGACTCTAACTTTATTATTAAAAATAAACTAAAGGCTGATTATTTCTGAAATCATTGCTAAAAAACGGATGTTATTGATGGGATTGTGGGATTCTGCCAAACTGATTGACTCAATCTCATCGAAATAGGTGATTTTTATATGTAATATGTTAGAATCCACCTTTCGGATTGGGAGATACGTGTGTTTCTCTATGGTCAGTCAATAATTCATCTGTATCCGTATTTGACTCGTGAAGGTCCCACTTATTCATGAATTTGATTGTTATGCATCATACATCATAGAGTTTCACTAACTTTGTCTTGAGACCGATAATGTTTCATCAGTTGCTACAATAAATCCATCAGATAGTTACAAATTGTGTCATTGTATTATATTTTGCTCATCATACGTTGTTCCGTCATCCTCGGTTTCTTTTTCATTATCAGACTCCAAACTTCATCATCTTTATCTCTAGAATTGCAATTGTTTTTTCAGTGAACTTATCAATCTTAATATTTGGCGACGTCTTCTTGATCTTGATAGAATGAAACTGGAGTTTGTTGTGAATATTGCAGAAATATGATCTGAAATCTTGCACACAAAGCAAGAAAACTATACAATTACAAAAACTTTTAAAAAAATTAAAAATAAATCACAAACACAATGGCTGTAGGCGACTCGGAGCTAGTCCGCTATTCGTATGCGATAGGGGATAAATCTTCACCATTTAGATGAGAGATTACAAGTTGTACATATTATATCAATGATTTTCAAACTGCCTCTCAACAACGGTAGAGAAAACCCTCTCTTAATTGGATGCTTTACGGTCTCTTCCCTTGATTCTGTATTTTTCCTTTGCAATACCTGATATAACTGCTCCTTTTATATAAAGACACTCACTCTCCTCAACTCCAATAAAAAAATTTACATTCTAAGATAGGAAATTGAACATGCAACAAATGATGCTACAATCTACATTAAAACTGATGGTACAATGACGATAAGAACATATGAGCAAAAAACGTCTCCTATGTCATTCGTGATTCTATTGACAAAAGAAGAGTGATATAACAACGGCATAAGCACATACATTAGAACTAGAAATCTTATCAGAACCAACCTCATACGAGCGGTCAGCTTGAGCCACATGAGAGGCAAAATCTGTTAGGAATATTAGCTGTTTAGACAATAACGAAAATCAGTTTAAGCAATTTAATAATTAACAGATAATCACTATTATAACACAGATATAAGAAATATATCAAATGAAAAATAAATAGAGTTAGAAATACGGCCTGATGATCGAAGCGTGCAAAGCACTGTCCCAAGAAACTAATTGCCCCCTCTCGTATAGGGCTACGCGGCAATAGATCTCCGAGATACGACGACCCTCGGTCAGGCGACCTCCTTCTCGTCGGCACGAGCTTCAAGAAGGTTTTGCGAATTCTTCACCACTTTCAGGGAACCAACAAATCGTAACAGTAAGTAAATTCAAGAGGAAGAACAGAGAAGGAGAAGAAGAGCTTGTTGTATTTCGTTGTGTTAAACTCTTCGGATTTTAGATCCTTTTATAGGGAAAAACAGCCGTTACTCATAAATCTCGTAATTAACACGTTTTAATTAATCACCTATTAATGTATTAACGTTAGCCATTTTTTGTCATTTAAATCCATAAATCCGCGGTATTTTAATTATAACAGTTACAAAATATTTAATCCTAACCGTTACAAAATGTTTATCACATGTTAATTGTTCAAAAATAAATATTATATTTTAATTATTCAAAAATAAAAATGTAGCAGATTAAGGGCCCATTAATCCGGAGCGGCATTCATGTGTGTGCGCAACCCGAGCCCGAGCCTGGCCCAGCCAGCGCGCGCGTGTGCGGTGTGAAGCATAACCTTTATTTTCTTCTAGGCATAGGAGAGAAAGGGAAGGCTTATACTCTTTCTTCCTATTCCATTTTCTATGTGGGACTAAACTTTTCCTCTTTTCCTCTACAAAATCAAGTTTTAAGTTATCTTTATTATAACTCCAACAAAATCTCCCATCGTGACTCAGAATGAACGGCTCGCATGCGGTCAGTTCGGATGCTAAGCATGTACTCAGACACAAATAGCCAAAGCTGGGTTGATTTCCCGAGAGGACTCTGGACGCATTTCAAAAAGTAGGTACGGGACATCATTCACGAATCGTGTGGTGGTGGAAGAATCTAAAATATTTTTCTTCGGAACTTTATTGACAGTAGTACTAAAGTAGTGACTAGACAGGGATGGAAATAGATCAAGCGGGCCCCCAACACCTCACCTTTGTTTCGCTGGCACAGTCAACAAAATAAGGCCATGATTGATGAGGACAATTTATTCAATATGGACTCAAACGAGTGATGGGCTGAAGCCTACCACCTTAAAACATGCCCACTAACTTAAGTCCATGACTAAAGCATGACGTCTTGCAAACGACATTTTTTTCCATCTCACGAAGATTTTCTTCCTTCTCTTTTTTCCTATAGCGAGTTTCTAGATGAGTGGTTGGAATGATTTGTTAATCATGTGATCATATCCCTATCCTATCATAGTTTATTGTTGAAACATTATTGTACTTCATGAGTTTTTGTGCTTCATGAGTCCTGTGGACCCATTTCCACTTAAACCCTTATTTAATTCAAGTGTTACCCTTTAATTAATATAATCTGTCACCATGATGATCGCCATTTGCAATACTTATACTTGATCAAAGTTGGAAAATGAGCGAGTATAACAAGTTAACAATAACAATAACAATAGCAAATGACTTATGGATTTGAAATATGAAGCAAACAGCTTTAATTTAATTCTTAAAAAAATAATAATAAGGTTTTTATATCTTGTCCCCTCACCAAAGTGCGAGTCATACTCTGCCAGAACCACAAATAAAAATAAAAAACATAAAAAAAAAACATCAATCTTTTGATTGGAATAAGTCATTGACAACTTTGGACGTCTATTTCGTATTTTTTACGACTTTCCTCTGGGATGGATTAACCTTTATAGCGTGGACGTCATCCGTTTATTTGACAAAAATAACTAACGGGCATCCTGCCGGAATTTTTTTACATGAGCTTTGCTACAGTGACCCAAAATATGAGACCCAAAATATAGGACCAATAAGGGGGACAAGTGAGGTGTCCCTCTCTTATTGGATAATGAGTTAGCCATCATTAATGATGGCCAACTCATTATCCAATAGGAGGGGAATACCTCACTTGTCCCTCCTATTGGTCCCATATTTTGGGTCCTTGAGGAATTTTTCTTTTTACATGAAATCAGTGACATAAATTTATTGCAAAGCAACCTTTAAATTATTCGAGCTTAATTATTTTTTTTATGCTAGAAACAAACATATTAAACTAATTTTCTGGGAAATGTTCTTTTACCTTAAACAATAAATAAAATGGATAAGCAGAACGCCAGATACGTAGAAACAAATTTCTTGTTTTCATTTCGATCGGTTTCACCAAAACTAGCACACGTTTCTCTTTAATAAATTGAATAAAGAATATTCCTGCGATCAATTCTATTCGCTCTCTGAAGGCAAAAACAAAGTTGTGGCTCTGTTACGTTTAAGAGACCAAGAGGCCAAGGACAATGTGAACTGTATTAATTAATGTATCATTAAATTAAGAAAATTAATTGTAGATTCTTCTTCCGGAACATAATAAAAGCAAAGTGATTGTCAACTATGATGCCTACATTATTGGAGGATTGAAGTTGATGGTCTGCTCTACTCGCTTCCGTAACATAGCGGCCCCCGTCAAATCACATCACATCACACTAAAATTGAAGCGCTTATATAGCCAGAAAAACATCTAGAAAAAGATTTTGGTAGAATAATATAAGAGGAAAATGGAGAAACTTGGTACCAAATTTCTCCAAGTAACTTGGTGGTGATGTGGCATAATCTTATCTTTACATCTACATTGGAATTTGTGAATGGTGGTTAAGACTCTATCTTCGAGGTGTGATGTAGGGTCAAGATTAGGTCACATCACTATCAGGTTGCTTTAAGCAACTTGATACCAATGTTCTCTATTTCTCTCATAATATAATCAACAGATAGAGCCAGTAGAGATCACAAGGCATCGCAAATAAGTATTTTACTATGAGTACAGCTCCGCTTCTATCCACATTATTCATTTGACTGATTCTAGAATGAGCAAAGCAGAGCGCAAATTAAAACACAAGCATTGCCTTCAACCCGAAAAAAAAAAAAAGGAAAAATAAATTGAAAATTGCAGCTAGCTAGCTACACCTCCTTCCATTTCTTAGCAACATCCGCGAGAGCCTTGTATGATCTCCCCTCCACCTCTAGAGCTTTGGCTCCAGCCTCCTGCAGCTCCCTTACCTTGTGTCTCACCCTCTTCCCTTTCTCGCCCTCAATCAACTCCCTCACCACCTCCGATATCTCCTCCCTCCTCGCGATCCCATCATCTCCAAACTTGACCTTCAGCGCAACCTCGGCACCTTCGACCAACATAACGGCGTTCTGTCTCTGCTCAGCGAATAACGGCCAAGCAATCATCGGAACACCGTTAACCACGCTCTCCAGCGTGGAATTCCATCCACAATGCGTCAGAAACCCTCCGGTGGACCGGTGACCTAACACCTCAATCTGAGGAGCCCAAGATGACACGACAAGTCCAACGTCTTTAGTCCTCTCAATAAATCCCTGGGGCAAGAACTCGAACGGGTCGTTGATGCTCTCGGGATTGAAATAATTGGCATCTGACTTGTGATCGCTTGGGCTCCGAACCACCCACAAAAATCTCTGCCCGCTCATTTCGAGACCCAGAGCCAGCTCCTTGGTTTGCTCTGTGGAGAGGGTCCCAGCACTCCCGAACGACACAAACAGCACGGAGCCACGCAGCCCACGTGGCTGCTCGTCCAGCCACTGTACGCCACGACCGCGCTGACTCATCGCACCCGGTCCTGATCAGCGGTCCAACCGAGTAAATCGGCGGTCTACCCGCTTCAACCGCTTTCAAAACTTTCGCTGCCCCCGGTTCAATTTCATCAAAAGTGTTCACCAAAATTCCCTGAGCATCTCTATACTTGATTGCTTGACGCAGTAACCACGAATAGGCCTCTTTCTTCTTGTCCTGGAGCGGATGGAGGATGTCCTTACCGGGTATCGGAACGCAGCCCGGTAGCTTAACGGGCTCGGGTAGATCCTTGAACTCGCACGGATACTTCCGATCAAGCTCCGGCAGGTGAAGGACTAGGGAAAGGGTTAAGAAGTTGGAAGGGAAAAATATGTAGCCAGGGATGTCGACTTCATTGGCGGCGTCGAGGTTGCATAGGTGTGGCCTCCGAAGATGTCTGGCCGACGAAGGCGACGAGCCTATGCGACTTCTTGAGCGCGAACGAAGGCGGACGTTATGGCGGGGGACGCGCGCGCCGCGAGGAGACGGACATGATGGTTTCGATGGCGCGTCGGAGGGAGGTCGCGAGAGCGTCGACGGGAGGGAGGGGAGGGAGGGGTTATGAATTGCGGCCCAAGGAGTCGAGTAAGCCCGTTGGGCCTTGGATTCGACTCGGTAGAGTGATGAAGGTGACGGAGAAGCCTGTGGCGTTGACGAGGCGCTTGGCTTAGCTCGGCCAGAGGGATGAGGTGGCCCATCCCCGGCGTTGGGAGCACGGCCACGTGAGGAGAGCGTGGGGATTCCATTTTTTTTAATTATTATTTTTTTTTCTATTTTGGGTTGGAGGTTTTTGATGTTTCTGATGGTGAAGAAGGTGAGGAGGGTACTTATAGTATGCGGAGGAGATTGTGGAGGCAAACAAGAAAGGAAAGGTGTTGTATTTTTTTTAAATGTGCGGAATGTAGAATAGCTGGGCGATGTGGGATTAAATTAGAGACGGACAGGAGTCGGACTACGGAGAGCTTGAGGGCGGCTAGTCTAAAGCTGAGGTCAGGACTAACGTCAGGCTTATGTAATAGGAGAGGGTGGCTTTTGGTGCTTCTAGAACTTATAATTTCTTGTGGCTGGGGCTTTGATAATTTTCGCATTTCTTTCTAAAATTTTGATTATCTCATTTTCCTTTTGAGGTTAACATCATACCAAAATAATTGGCTTTATGGTGTTGGATTATCTTGGGTTGATGACACAGAGTTAGGTGGCTGGATTTGAGTTGGAATATTGTGTATTTTTTTTTTTTTTTTTGGGGGGCGGGCGGGGGGCAGAATAGCAACAAATGATACAAACGAAGATTTGAGGAATATTTAGGGAGCTTCTCCGAGTTGCTTGATAAAAGGCTAAAAATTTTCTGTAAAAGCTAACGTTCGTAGAATTAAGAAAGATACACCAAAAGGAATAGATACAAATTACTAATTAAATCTTAATTATTCTTTATGATTGATTGTCAATTTCCTTTTCTTTACGTGCATATGAGTGTTTTTCTTTATTATTTTTGTAAAATGTTTTCAGAAATAATTACTTAACTAATAAATGCCGTCTCATTTATATAGAAAAATAATGATTATTCATGTATAATAGGTATAATAGACAGATCATCTACTATAAATCACAATTGCCGATTTTTGTAGTAGATAATTGTGATTTTTCTTTACAAGCATGATAAATTATACAAGAGACGCCGGTATTACATCTCTAGTGGATTGCTCCAAATTAAGTCCAATTACAGGCAAGGACATTGCGTATTGAAATATACGGACCGGCGTTGACTACTTTACTACTAGATATGCAATAGCGAGTATTCACCAGAATACGAATAATTTCTGCACGCATCCACGCGTAGGTCGTCGAGAATTCTCGTAATAGTCCTGCTCATTTAAGCCATTCTTGGACGATTTTGAAGATCAATGAAATTTGATAATATAATTATCTATTTCATTTGATATTATAGGAGAAAAATATGCTGACTACACTAGTAGAAAATAGACCAAACTAGACGAAATTTTTTTAGTTTAGCTTTCTCCTAACTAGTCTGAACGAGTTTCGTCTAGGTTGTTCCGTCTATTTTGGAGCAACCTAGACGGAACGTTCCGTCTAGAATAGCAAACTAGACTGATGTTGTTTATTTTTAAAAATTAAAAACTCAACCTAGACGGAATTCCGTCTAGGTTAGTAACCTAGACGGAATTCCGTCTAGGTTGCATTTTTTAATTTTTTTAAAATAAAAAATAAAAAACACATCCTAGACGGAATTTCGTCTAGGTTGATTTTAATAAACCAAAAAAATTCTAAACCAAAGTTATATTCAAAGAGGCCTCCATTAGATCTTTTCTCTAAGGCGGTTAAACCAAAAATTAATATAGAGACCAAGCTCTGATACCAATTGTTGGACCCTAGAGGGGGGTGATTAGGGTCAAGAGGCTCTAATTATGCAATAAAAATTAAGACAAGCAAACCACAATATTCTAATGTAATCAAAGTAAGTGAGATAGGATTAGGAATCGTTATCCTTTGACGCGCGATGTGTTAACGAGGTTCGGTCCGCTGACCTACGTCCCCGCTCCCCACTCTCGAGGAGAAATCCACTACACACCCGGTTTGGAAGCCGGAACTTTGTCTACACAGCGATCCCTTCACGATCTCATACTACACAGTTGATCTCAACAGATCACACTCCCTCACAGTTGATCTACACAAGATCATACTCACACAGCAGTAGAAATGGTGCAAGACTCTCTTTACAGGTCCCTATGGCAAAGAGAAAGAATACTGAAGCTGGGAAGTGAACACACACAAAAAACACAGAGAACAGAGTTTGAAAATTTTTCTCAGAAGACAGCGTCTCTCTAGTTTTTTTGCAGAAGTTAGGGCAACTAAGAAGAAGAAGAAGTCTGGGTTTAAATAGGAGAGATTAATCATATTAAAATCACAACCCAATCTTCCCAATTAAGAAAATAATCTCCTACACAGACTGTGCCTCAGACCGTGCCAAACACAGTTAAGTGATAAGACAGTAAAAAAGGCAAACGACCGTTTGGAAAAAAGTCTCGGTTGACCGAATAAACTTTCGGTCGATCGCCAGAACGTTCGGTCGACCGAAATGATGAATTTGGTCGACCGACAGAAAATCCGGTCGACCGCGAGCAACTTTGAAAACACAGAAAACAAACAGAGACTTCATCGGTCGACCGGTGCGGTCGACCGATAGAAAAATCGAGATTTCGGTCGACCGCACCGGTCGACCGACAAACTCTCTGAAGCCCAGTGACGAATGATCTCAAGTGCGGTCGACCGGTGCGGTCGATCGCATTCTGATACATTCCAGAAGAGTATTTTGACTCAAACAAAAATATTTAGAAAATATTTATTTGACCTCTGAAAATTATAAAACTTTGTAAAATATTTTTAATACTAAAAACAAACTGTTTGGAAAAATAATTTTGCAGATAGGTCATCATACTTGTGAAAAATAGTATTTTGTGAAAAACGCTTAAAAGCTTAAGTATGAAAACGTGTGTGTGAGTCCCAATAGCTTCAAGTGAATTCAATAACTCTTTGCCTACATTCTAATACTAGAGAGAGAATAAAAACTAGCTAATATCTTCACATAGAATACAATTCTTGAGTCTTGATATAGCTTGAGTTTGGATGAAGCTTTTATATGAATTTGTTGTTCTTGAAATAACATTGCTTCATCACTATGCCTCCTCCTCCTTTGGATATCATCGTTGTAGCGTATATTCCATCCAATCCTCCATGAATGGCACTAATAAGCTTGATAACTGAATTTACTATATTTGCACTCAATAAGCTATTAGTACCGTTAATGGTGGTTGTAAAACATCATCAAAATATAAGGGCTAACAATCTCCCCCTTTTTGATGATGACAACCAACTGTTTGTGGAAAATTTACAATAAGAAAATGAATGAAAGAATTGTATTTGATTTTATTCTCTCTAACTGCTTAGAATAAGAATGTTTACAAAACTCTCAACTCTCGATTACAATCGGATTTCCTGAATACAAAAGAGAAGAGAATGATCTAAATTCTCTCCTTTGTTTAAAACTGGGTTCTTCACGGCGGCGATGAGATGCTTCCCTCGAATGCTCGTGTCGAGTTTGCTTCTCGTTGACGATCCGAAAACTTCAATTCACTGGAACAACTGACTTGTCTGGTTGATAACTCTTGACGAGTATTGTAGCTCAGAACGAGTAACCAACTCTAATATGAAAAGAGTTAACAGAACCGAAAATAATTCGGTTAATAAGCCAAGTATTGAGTGTCTGGAATCTTCAGTTGATGATGATTCCCCAGACTGTGTAAGGAGCTGATCCTTTAACCCTCACTATCTGAATCCAATCTCCAAAAGTCCAACCTTGAACTCTGTTGAGTTTGTTGATATTTATAGTGAGATTAGGGGTGTAACTGCCCCCATAATCCGCTCCTAAATGAGGGTTTAGTTGCCTCATTAATCGGTTGTAACAACCCACGTAAGCCCGGTTTTCGAAACTGCATTGATCGTGTTTGAACAGGTCAGAACTTTGACTTGCATTCTGGCATAGATTCTGCTCTTGAACGCAGCATCTGGAAGTGCGTTGTGCAGCGATGTTGAGCTGCGTTGTGCAGTGATGTTGAGCTGCGTTGTGCAGCGATGTAGAGCTGCGTTGTGCAGCGATGTTGAGCTGCGTTGTGCAGCGATGTGAAGCTGCATTCTGCAGCGATGTAGAGCTATGTTCTTCGATGTTGGAAGGTGCGTTTGGCAGTAGCATAGAACTGCGTTCGACGTCGGTTGGAGCTGCGTTTGGCAGCGGTGTAGAGCTGCGTCTGGCAGTGGTGTAGAGCTGCGTCGGGCAGCGAATAGAGCCGCGTTGAGCAGCGAGTAGAGTTGCGTTGAGTAGCAAGTAGAGCTGCGTCTGGTGGCGATTTAAGCTGTGTTCAGCGGTTGATTTGAGCTGCGTTTTGTCTGTCTTTATATATGGATGACACCACTGCAAAGTAGAGGAGGCTATTTGTGACACTCGAGACACCACAATAACGTTCTACCAACCGCGGATCACGATCTCCACTAAGACCTCTTTGCATGGCCTTTAATCATGCACTTCTCAGCATGTCGAATATTTGCCCACAGTTCTCTAGATCTTCCTGCTTTTCTAAAATCATTACACTGCTCATCAGCATCTCTAATAGTTACTAATATAACGTTAGTCATGTTGTTGTCGCAGCCATCAAGATCAATCATCTCAAACATGGAACTGTATTGATAACTGAGGATGCAATTATTGTAGTGCTTCGTCTTTTGGAGTGTATCCACTTGTGTTTTGACTGTAGGGATGAATTCTACCTTTCGATTTCTTCATGGTCCATAGGGGTGTCCCTTGATTGTAGCTTTCTGTTGGGTAACAAGAAAATTGTCTGATTGTAACTTTCTTTGTTATAGCCTGATGGGGATCAGCTATCCATTGTGATTTTTAGACAGCCTACACCAACCATTATAAGAGCAAAAATAAAATAGCTTATAGATAGGTGCTCCCCCTATCTATGAGCTCCCCCTAAGTATATGCAACAAATGAGGAGATTTCTCTCCCCATTTGTCACCATAAAAAATGGGGTAAAGAGAAATATAAAATGCAACTAAACAAACAAACAATGTAGAACTTTCACATAGTGCATAAGCCCAAACCATTTCTTATGCGACAAAAATCATCCTCTCCAAGAGGCTTAGTAAATATATCCGCTAATTGAGATTTTGTGTCAACAAATACTAGGGATACATCTTGTCTCTCTACATGATCGCGTAAGAAATGATGGCGCACATCAATATGCTTGGTTCTAGAATGCAAAACCGAATTTTTGGAAATATTTATAGCACTTGTGTTATCACAAAAGATTTTAATATTTTGAAAACTCAAATCATAGTCAACTAAGCTTTGTTTCATCCATAAGACTTGAGCACAACATAAGCCGGCGGCAATGTATTCCGCTTCCGTAGTGGACAATGCAACACAATTTTGTTTCTTGGAAGCCCAAGAAACAAGTGAATTTCCTAAGAATTGGCATGTTCCACTAGTACTCTTGCGATCTACCTT